CTTGCATTTTGTGACAAAAAACACTGTATTTTGTCTAAACCTTGACACAAATCCAGAAATTCAGATAAATTATTCAATGAATACTTCAATTCACTCTCTTTTGCACACATTTTGATTACTTTAATAAAAATATAAATCAATTATTTTCACAAAAACCCACAAATGACTGAAACAATGACTTCTGAGACATTTGGCGCTAAAACTTAACCAAAGGTTAGGAATGATGTCTAAAAACAAAACCGGTTTTCATTTGCATTCAATTCACTGTCAATATCATACCGGTGCCAAACAGTCTAATCCAGTTAAACATGCATATTTAGTCGTTATTTTATCTTTAATTAATAAACATTATTATTTAAACAAATTAATTTTGAAAACATTCATAATGTAATAGTAACCTAGTTTAATTTTATTCTAAATTTAATAGGCAATTTAATACAGTAAACAAATGCATGTCGACGCCATTGCAGCGCACCGGTAGTCTAACAATCAGTATACTAATGATAGTGAGTGTCGAGTTGGCCTTAGAGTTGTCGAAGCGATTGCAGCCAACAGTCCGGTGGCGGTTCAGGGATGTAAGGCTGGGCTCAACTAATCCAGTGATCTTAGGGTTCGGGAGGGACTGGAGTTTGTGGTCGCCTGGAGCCAGTGTATGATTCAAAGCGATGATCTCATTCAGGCAGATATGGCTACGGCTACCCGGGCTACCGGTCCACCAGTTTTCTGATGACTTATACATTTATATGCAAAACAATGACATACTTGGTTTAGACTTCACCCAGTTCATTAAAGCATTATCCTATAAATCATAACCAAGGATGTCTATCAAGTCATTTTGAATCTAAATCATATTATGAGTGACCGAGGTTACATGTACGTTACCTCAAATACAAATACATAATGCATTTTTAATCGTATATAGTTTAAACTAAACACAATGTTTATCCAGTTCACAATGTTTTAGCTTATAACGGTGTTTAAAACAAAACCAGTTTTCAAAGCAATCATTGAAACAAACATTAAGCACCTGGATCATATAAACTACTTTAGGGATCATACAGTCTTTGAGGTACTGGTGTTTATGATTGTCAGGCCCAAGATCTTATTAAGGCTACCCGGGCTACTGAACCACCAGTTTCTGATGAACTAATAAAAGTATTTTGTATTTTCTCATTTAATGTCAAACGTTTTATACATATCTGGCTCAATTTGTATATTTATTTCATATAATTATTTTATTTTTAATAATATACTTTATACAACATTCATTAATTTTATAAAATATAAATCCTTTTCCGTATAATATGTTACATTAATAAAATTGTCATTGTCATTTAATCATGTAATCATATAACCTATGTAACCAGTCGCTCACTAGTCATTATTTAAATGAACAGTACGTTTATGTCGTAATAACACGTGTTTTGTTGTGAACTGTTTGCCACATTCACTCCAATCGCATACATATCCCATATTTAAATGATAAGCATTTCTATGCATATCTAGTGGTGACTTTCTTTTAAAACTTTTGTCACAATCAGTAAAATCACATTTAAATTGTTTAATACTACTGTGTCTATCTTGATGCATTTTTAGCTCGTATGCGGTTGAAAATATTTTGGCACATTTATTAAAATTACACTTATGAACTTTGAGCAAGGTATGTCGGCGTATCTCATGACGAGTTAAACTTTGTTTTAGAGAAAAACTTTTGTGACAATCACTGAAACGACAAACAAATAGCTTTTCGCCCGAATGTATGCGTTTGTGTTGAATTAGGTGTTGATTTTGAGCGAAATTTTTGCCACAATTTTTTTCATTACATTTGAATCGTCTTTCATTTAAATGAACACTACTTTTGTGTTGTTTTAACCCGAGTTTTGATGTAAACTGTTTGTGACATTCACTCCAATCGCATACATATCTCATGTTTGAATGAAAGATGTTTTTGTGTGCAATAAGACTATCTTTTAAAGCATAACTTTTATTGCAGTCCATGAAATCGCATATATATTTCTTGACATTATTATGGGTGAACACATGTCTATCTAAATAGTCTTTCCTGTGAGCCTTAAACTGACATTTAGGCCAAAAACATTTGAAATAGTGATAAGTGTTGAGTGTATTAATGGTGTTGTGATTGGAAAGCATTTTATCACTTATTTTACATGAATTCAAATCAATTGAATTGCAATTCATTGACAAATTCATTGCATTTTCGCATTCAATCCCTTCACACAAAACACTTGCATTTTGTGACAAAAAACACTGCATTTTGTCTAAACTTTGACACAAATCA